TTCTAAAAATGAGTGGGTAGGAAAAAACTTATTTATTCTAACCTCATGCATTCTTAAAAGGGTGTTTTCAAAATGAAAAAGGCCCTGCAGTTTTCTAAAAAGATAAGAGGCTTCATTCAAAAATAACTTCAATATGTTTAACTTTTTCACAACAGAAGACTGGTGGTCTTAGTCTATTAAACTAAAGACCTGTGCACTTGCAGTGCCGGATGCTGCTATGCTTTTCCTCTTCACCTCATGTGCAACACTGGTGTCAGTTCAACTTGTCTCTAAATAATCCAACTTCTGCAAAGAAATCTGTAATCTAGCATGCTCCTTTAATAATAATCAACACCATGGTCCTAATGGTACCTTAGAGAAAAGTGTTAGAGCTGACATCACTCTATTAATCTGACTAAATTAGAATAGAAGAACGGATGCTTTAAGAGGGAATGGTGCTTGAAATTGATCTTCTTTTGTTAGCCTTGGCTGCTTCTGAGGAAAAACAAACTGTTTTCATCACTTTGCAGCAGAATTTCATCACAGGTAAGAACATTTGCAGGATGTTTCACCCATAAAACCAATTTATACAAGAGCAACTTTTCCCAACAATCCATGCACTAGAAAAACAATCTAGAAATAAGTAAAAATGTCCTAAATTACGTGTATTTACTCTTAATTTGAGTCGGTAAATGAGATAGTTTGCCAATGGAATGAGTATATTTACTCTTAAAATAAGATAATTAGATTATATTTTCTTGAAATAAGACAATGCAATTGTGTTTTCTTATTTTAAGTGTAAATTGTATTGTTCCATTGACAAAGTGTCTCTTTTACCTCCTCAATTCAAGATCAAATGCAATCATTTTAAGAAAAGATGACATATCTAGATTTCAATTTTTTCCAGTGATGAGTGACTTTCTTTTTTTTAATCCAGCCTGTTTCATAAGGATGAAATGATCGCCAAGGGATTGACATCAAAACAATAACATTTCAACTCAATTTTAATGAAACCACACATCATAGTACCACAGGGAATTTTTGAAGGTTTGAAATAACTTGATTATTTCCCAATAAAACTCCTTGAATCATCATGTTTATAACTGAAGTTCAATTTAGGACCCAAAATTTTGCAAAAGATATGTCTGGCTGAGATACTAAAATATGAAAACATACAAAATCTTGAAGTCTTAAACCTTCACACCACTAATTTGTTGAAAGATGGGAAAACAAAAAAAAAATGTAAACACTTCAGGAAAAGGAAGTCTCAAGCAACAAGTTTGATTTTCTAGGCACTGCTTTATTTCGTCACAGTGTATTGAGTTAGTTACAATACAACATGAGCAACATTTACAGAGAACAATATCATACATGGATCTACGCCTGATGTTATATGGCTTTAACTGGATGAAATATTTAGCTCTTTGCGGATCATTTGCAAATGATCAAGTTTCTGAGGATGTTGGGCTGAAAATTACAGCGTTTGACTTTTTAAGCAACTTACAAAGAAGAATGTGCAACAAAATTTCATAATATCCTGGGAATTTAGATCAGCTTTTAAATATGTATTTAAAACTTTTAGTCGGCAGCCATTATCTATACATTTATTTAAGCTCAGTATGAAGATGAAAAATACTAAAAGAAAAACGGCTCATTTTCACAGCACAATGAAAATGTTTTGATTGTGGTATGATATTAGAAGAAATGTCTTTGTTGATCAAGAATACGATGTTTATATATATTAGTTTAGCCAAATATAGAGTTTAACTGCAGAGTCATCATTAGCTTGTTGTATTATTTATTGTTACAAACAGAATTTAAAGGAACTGGTGAAGTTTGTTTGATAATATAACCAGAAAAATTCTTAAGCATCACAATGGCAAGAATTAGATATTTGCATCATCATACATTCTTTTATTTTCATTTTTGCAGTTTAAGGTTCCACAAAACTGCTGCAAATACTTCGAAAAATATATGTTCATTTAGTTAGAAAACTAAAGTCAGTACGATTCAGAGTAAAAGAGAAAGATGGAATTAAAGTCTATCTACCTCAAATTCACTCAAACTGTCATACGGTATTATCTGGTTTCAATCACTGTTCAACCTGACATCCATATAAGATTTAAAGTCTTTACTTTTTCCCCATTAAGAGTCAAGCTCACTTAAACTTGACCTATGATAAAATAATTTTCTCAAATAGTGGCTGCTATCATACAACAGTGACATGATCTTGACAAATCTAGAAGCATAGCTGAGTTCTAATATTGTGGAAATAATGTTTCTGTTTCAATATTGGAAGAAAAATGTGTAACTATAAATATCTTTAGGTCGTTTAGAGATAGAAATGAAGTAAAGGATATTAGTAGTATCATGATGTATAACTATTTGGGTATTATATCAATTTATTGTTGTTGAGTAATATATCTCATTCCAGGGATCATCTTTTCCTATAGGTCACAGGAATTAACACATTCAGGGACATCAGTCACCCTCTTAAATGCTTAAATCATAGTTTTCTTTTATAGAACAAGAAAATATAATTTACTGTGTTTCTTTTTAGAAAATCAAGCATAGATTTCTCAGAATATTGAGATAAAACCACCATCTAACAGTTTATGGTTATTCTTTATTTTATTCTGTAACTTTTTGCAAGACTACATTTTATCAAAAACTATTCTACTGATAAACATTAACAACAAAGCAAACTTTTAATCAAATGAATAAGCTAACAAATATACTGAAGCCTGTTCTTAACAGCTTACATTTGGTTAATGGTAGTTGTTGCTGCAAAAGACATTTGTTATATTATTTGAACAGAATGAAAAGGCATATATTTAGATCCATGCTGCAAGGCTGAAACAGCAGGCAAGCCAATAGATCAGTTTATTAAAGCTTAAATCAACCAAGCTGTAGCAAAATGCTGAGCGTTAAACAAAGAAAACATGGGATGAGACACAGACTTAAGTATTTGAGGAAACATTTCTTGACTTTTTTTTTTACACACAGCTCATGTATTAAATTTAATGCTACAGTAAATGAAATAAGATATCTGATTGAATTGTATAATTTTCCTTTGACCAAAAGAATTTCCAGTTTTCCTGAAAACGTGTTTGCATAGATGCCATTGCCACTATATTCCTTGATATCAACACCACTGTTTCACTGTAATTAATCTGTCTAAGACAACATGAATTCTGAATTATGTTTCAAACTTATTACTTTCATTTGATCCAATGCAAAGTGATATTAACATAAAAAACATATAATCTGACCTTTTCTTTGTAGCATCTACCAAACATTTTGGCTGTACTCTAGTCCTGCAAATTACCACTTTCATTGTGTAGGAAGAAAATTTAGCTTTTCAATGTTTTCTAGTTTGAGTAAAATAAGTGAAGGAGTTGGTTCTTCTACTAACAGCATATTTAATCAATATTTTCATGAAATTGATATCCGACAGATGTGTCATGATTGCAGAAAAAAATTATAAAGAGTGATGGTGTTGTTTGGAAAGTCCAAATTCAGCTTAGTCGCACATAATCACCATAAGACAAAGGAAGTAATAACTTGAATGTGAGGTCAAAAAGTGAAAATGTAATAATAATGTCTCCAGAAGAGAGTTCAAAGTCAGGAGAATGTTGTCTGGAACCATCAATTAGACCCCACCAGTGGCTGCTGACACTTGAAACAAAACCAGTATTTTGAAATACTAAAATTTCATTAGCTTTTAGGTAGACATTTCAATTTCTTCTCCTGTTCTACCAGCATTATTACTCTGATATACTTAGGAATCAGAATTCATACATTCTGCCAAAAACCAAATGAGAATAACCCAGCCAGCCTCACTTTTTCCCACATTATCAATCATGTGGCTAATGCTACAGACATATCCATAGAGGGGAATTAAAACTCTCAAAATGCATCTGCATACAAAGATTCTGGCTGTACCATCACCTGAAAAAAAACAAAAACAAAAAAAAAAAAACAGGTGATGGCACACCTATTGATTATTGTCAAACATCCCTAGTTAATTTATTTAATCTGTGGACATTAGAAGCTATTATGTTGTGACAAAAGACATAATGTGCGAATGATCGATGGTCCTCTTACTGGTCTGGCTGTTGTCTTCCTGCAAGATGTCTCTGCATTGACATTTTCTGTTCAAGTCCTCTTCGTTTACCCATTGGCTGTTCCTACGTACTAAGATTCTGTTCATCATTTCAAGGAAAATAGAAATATAAAAAAAAATTAAGTGCTCATTATAGTTTTTGCTGTTGTTAGCAAGTAAGCCACATTTTGTAGTTATTCCAAGCAAAATGCCTTTATTTCTTATTTTAGAAAAAATATGCTTGGTTAAAGTCATAGAGTGTTATGAGGTTCCATGAGCGTTCAAATACAGTATGTTCTCTCTCTCGCTCGCTCTTTTATATATATATATTTATATATATAGATATATATCAAAATATTATCATTAAATGCGCTACCAGGTTTACAAGCATTGTACAGCTCAAAGTTACATTTTTTCTAAATATTTACAAGAGGTTCTTAACAGCTTTAAAGCAGAGCAGAAGTGTTTTTAATAATATGGAGTCCCTGTGCAACACAAAAGCTTTTAATCATTTTGCAGGAATGGTTGATTTTGGTTTACGAACCAGGAAAATTACTCCTTATTGTCTGACAATTTGTTTTTTTTTTTAAGGATTTGGAATGTATATTATGCATCGCTCATAGAGCTAGGACTACCCATAATGCAGCAGTGTTTTTATGCTACTATGATAGTTAAGATGGCAGCCGAAACAGAGCAATTAAATGATGTACTAAATGAGCTCGATATATTTTTTAAACCTAAAACACTGGTTGCTGTAGAGTTGTTCTTTCTTTTTTTGTCTTAAAGACATATTTGCATCATTTGTAGTTTTCTGACTGGTTCTAACCAGTTTCCGCTGACCGAGTTAGTCTCACCCTTTGAAATCTGTCTCTACCTGTTGCTTTTTAGACTAATTTGCTATGTATATTTTATAAATTATTCTGACTGGTCAGGCTCAGGAACATTACAAGGTGTAAAAAATGCAAAGATTTGCGACGTACAATCCAAAATGCAGGAATGTATGTATAGCATGGAATACAGATATGGAGACAGTATGCACTGGCTTTGCTGCTATGATCCCAGCCTCTCCTTTTTCAAGAAGTATGTTCTGTTACAGAGGGGTTTGGTTCTTTTTCATTTCAGTCACATTGGCCTTCTCCATATTTCTGTTGCAGGACAGAGCTCGCCTTCAACTAAAACTAAAAGACAAAAAATTGAAAGTTGTGTAATCTAATAACCCTTATCAGAATAATACAAGTGAAATTCTTTACTTTTCAAATAAATGATCTTTTTCAATACATGAATGATGAATAAAATTATCTAAATGGGTACTTCTTCTCTTTGACAATCAATATGCTACCAAAAGCTGCCCTTTATATTTCTATTGCTGTACTGAAATATAGGAAAATGTTACTGAGAAGTTCTTATGCCACAGACCTGTATAAAGTTATGTGCAGGCTTTCATGGATCCAAATGAACTTTTTTAGTAAGAAAACAATCAATTTACAGCTGGAAATGTTGAATTAAGAACTGATGTGTTAACCTGAACAGGGCATTAACTCAGTCTTTTTTTGCAACACATAATTCATAAAAGTATAAAATCTGTCTGCCCTAAAAACAACTGTCATCGCTCCTGATAGTCCACAGAAAAGGAGGACAGTGAGTTGTATTTTTAAAGGTACGTTCCCTGATTCTTCAGAATAACATTAATCACTTATTGTTCGGATAAGTTACTGGCTTTTCTGAGAAAAGTCAAGGAACCTATTTTCCAATTGATTTAATTCCAGCTGCAAAGTGTAAAGCAAGATATCAATGCAAAGTGGCAAAGAGAAACATTAGGGCTGTTGTAGTAAAGATTAATGGCAATAGTTCCTCTGTGTACACTGGAGTTTTTACATGTGCAAACAGTATATTACAGCTAATTTCCAGAAGAAATAGCCAAATTTTGATCCTGTTTCCTGATTGCTGTGCAGGGAAAAGGTGTTGAAGCTGTTATTACTAATATGCCATGCCTCTCTGCAGCCGGGCCTTTAATATTATCAAAGCAAAAGTTTGCCGTGTAATTTATATCTTATCTAAAAGCAGCTGTTTGCAGATGTTAAACTCCAGCTAATTTGTTTATAAATAAGCATTCTGTTTTATAAATACAGATAAGCAATCCAGTAAACTAGATTAAAAAGGCCAAAAGCTGTAGGAAAAAATATCCGCGAGTACGAATCTATTTTTGACACCCGTACGTGCATCCTATTTTCTCGCCAGGCCCCCGATCGACAGTCGTCAAAGCAGCAGAAGAAACTGGCGCAGTCTTTTCCATCTAAACAGTCATATGCATAGTCGTCATCCTCGTGATATGGCACAATGTTGTTCATCTGCAACAGGGACGTTCCAGGTCGGATATTTACCATGCTTGGGACTTTCTGCTGCAAAGGAGACAAGGTTACTTTCGCAGCACTAATAAGATCAAGACTATTTGATTGAGAAGAATGTTTGTACCTGAGCACTGTTGTTTGCTTTACCCTTCTTGGTCTGCCGGTTGCTGGTGAAGTAGTGCAATGTGCCATACTCCATGAGAGCCGCAAAGGTGAAGATGAAGCAGACAGAGACGAACAGATCCATGGCAGTGATGTAGGAAACCTTCGGCAGAGACTTTCTAGAGATGGTGCTCAGAGTTGTCATGGTGAGTACTGTAGTGATTCCTGCAGAGGGATCAAGTCCTGAATTAGAAGTCAAATTCAGGATTTTGATTCATCTATTCACAAGGTAAACATAAAACCAGGAAATTCTGCTGGATAGTTGGATATTGAATTGGAATGCAAGGAAAAGATGCCTAGTGACTGAAAACAGTCATTACAAGAACTGTATAATAATTGGTCTGAAAACAAAATGTTGTTTTTTTCAAGTCAGCCAACTTAGCCTATATCATTACAATGGTAGTGATGCTTTAGTGTCTAGATTTTTACCAAGTGAATGAGATTCTGATTAGTATTTTCAACATTAAGGTTTTTAAAAATTGCAAATGTAGCCTAGGTACAGTGGTTGTTCCTTCAGTCAGCAACTCTGGGTGGGAGTTAAAAACAAAAAAAGAGAAAGCTGATGTTATTACAGCCATGTTCCTCTGATTTATCCTTTATAGGGCATCCAATTCTGCCCAATTATGGTCTATAAAAGATGACAAAAAATGGTTACAATTTTTAAAACTTACATTTAAGGTAGAAGTTGGGTTAATGTGCAGGACCCAGATAGAGGCTGCTAGTTATTAATACTAATGCTAACAATGCTTTTGTTAACATGAGATACTGAGGTTTAAATTAGAAACGTATTATTATTAATTATTTAGTCTTTGTTTTGAAATGATGATAAAATCCTGTTATTACTCTCTCACACACATAAGCCCTGATCGACTAAAGATTTGCAGGAATAAAACCCTGTGTGTACGTGGCTCATCTCCTGACCAAGTGCGTACTGGTTTAAAGTTTGTTGACTTACATTTACAAATCTAGACATGTTTGCATGTTTTTTTTTAATCAACAGTTTATTAATTCTTAATAAAAGTCAGGTGCAAACTTCAAATTTTTGCAGCCCTTCTGCTGAGAAGAAGGCATATAAAATGACAGACAAAAGAAAAACATTACATATTTGGACTGGCAGAAATGAAAATAGCAGAGGCATATTGTCCATTCCATATCCATGTCTAGCATTTCTCCATGGGTGGTGGATTTATTTAAGAGGGTTATAACTGTGGGGGTATCACTTTGTGCTGCAGTTGAACAATCGTACTTTTATTGAAGAATAACCAGATTAAGTGGCTCGTAAAAAAGTCTTTTTCCAAGAACAAAAATAATAGCTAATGTAATAAAGTGCAGCCATGATGAATATAGTAGTTTCCACAGAGGAGTGGACATTTGTTATGAAACAAATAGCTTCAGTTTGTATTTTATGGCCACTGTTCACACAGCTAAGGTCGTCAAAAAAGGCTGCAACAGCTACTTTCACCTGTAAGTATCAGTATTAGAAATGATGATGTATGATAAGAAAGAGGAAACATTGTTTTTGGAGAACTTAAACTATGTTTTCATTTTTATTGTAAAAACAAAATATTTTATATGATCTCAAATTTAAAAAAAAATTCTCCATTCATTAAAAATGGTTTTCGTCATCTGGTGTGTTTAGAAAGATGACATGAGAGAAGATTTTGAATGAAACTGCTTTCAGAAATTGAAAAACATTGACCTTCATTGGATCGTTTGTTATAATTTGATGCATGAATTTTTCTATTAAACTTTGAAAGTATGTTTAACTGGATAAGTATGTATTTGGCTTATGATTGATGCTGTCTTTGCTAGTCTAATGGTTATCAATTCTGGTCAGATGTGTTATTTTATTGACTAATAGGGGAAGAAAACGTGCAAGAGCTCAAAGTGGAAGAATGTTCAACTTTCAGTATTCAATGTGTTAGGATTTCGAACCTAGAGATGTCCGAGCTGGTACGGCATCCTTGTTAATCCAGAAAGAGACCCAGGACAAGACCACAATCATACTGCAGGGAATGTAGGTCTGGATGGTGAAGTAGCCCATCCGCCGACTCAGATCAAAAAAGATTGTCATGATGACATATTCCCCTGAAAGATATATACAGATTGATAGAATGATTTTTTTAGATTGTTGCAGGTAAAGCTGCAGTATATAAGAGGATTTTGTCAAACCTGACTGTGTGTGAGCCTCATCGGTGGTATTCCTCATCCCTACAAAAGCAAACTGGTAGAGTCTCCAGTAGCGCTGGTCGGCCACCTCCACAGCCCTCCGTTGCCATCTATATGTGATCTCGTTTTTTGGATAACCATCTGTAGATAAGCCCAAAACAGATTGTAACAAAAAATGTCCCTGGGTTCTGCAGTATTAAACATCATTCAATGTTTCTCACACAGACTTTGCATGAAAGATGGATTTAGCCACAGCATCTTTAAGTAAAGCTAATTTGAGTTTCAGATTATCAGTCACTTCTAGGGACCCAGAGAACTGACATGGTGAAAAGAAAAGAGATATAGTGTGTGCACAAAATAACAAGAAAAACTGTGTCCATGAAATGTACATAATGTGTGCACAATATAGTAATTTATTTCCATGGCCGCAATATAGGTATAAAATGTGTATGGAAAACTAGAATAAAATCTTTCTGCAAAGCTCACCTATAGGAACAAAGGAACATGACAACATGATGTATAGAGATAGACTGATTGAGTTTTCTTTGGGGAGATGAATACTGAAAGGCCTGGCATTGCAAGGAATTCCCAATAATCCGAGGGATTTAAAAAGAATACTGACAGAAGGTCGCTTCCCCGACAGATGAACGATTCTGATACAGTTCATTGTTGACCAAATCCAATGCTCTGGATGCTCTGCCAGTGGATGTATCAGATGTGTGCAAATACTTAAACACGAGGTAACGTAGCTGCCACAAATAAAGGCCTGCACATATTTGCGTGGACATTTGTTTGAATTGAGGTGTGAGCAAAATAAAATGTTTACATCCATTTATGTAATGTCTCACTACACTGTTTGGCATTAGAGGACACTTCTTGCAAGGAATGAGTATTCATGCCAGACTGTGTTAAATGGGAATGAGCTAACAAGTTAAAAACTGAGAAGGACACTATCCTCAGTGCAGCCAGTCATAAGGACTTCATTTCGTTTTTTAAAGCTATTTGGCAAACTTGTCCAATGACGCCATGGCAGTGTGGGAAATGAAGAGATGTAGGAAATGGTTTGCTCGACTATGAAGGCTGAAATGCATGCGCAGACTCCATATGGCTTACAGTATGTGCACCGTCTGCATATCAAGTATGTGGAAGCCTTTAGTTGCCTAATTTGTTGGAATGAATCAGTACCTCCTGGGAACACATTAGTATTTGAGAAGCACACATCTCTTTTTTTTCCCCCTGTGTCAGTTTTCAGGCTCCGCACAAAAACATTATTTTCTCTTTACAAAAAACTATTTACTATAACCATAGCCAGCTTAACTGTAAACAATATGATCAAAACAGGTGTAATAAAACTTAAACCTAATTAATGGAGTTGATGTAGAAATTCTTTTTTCAATGCCATCTTGGATGTTACACCAACATGGACCAATTTATCACCTAATTTTTTATCTAAATGAAGGATAAAAAAGCTGGAAAAATAAATTGCTTTGTGTTTATTAGCCCTATCCCTTCTATTTGCTGCTATGATCTAGTGATGGTCAAGAAGATCCTGAGACTTGCTTCATTAGTGTTCTCTGAAAGGAAGAGCAAGAACTTTGCTTTAAATTTCATTAACTGGACACACATGACAGATTCTGAGATCTGTATGGGCGCTCTGGACCTTTTCTTTTTAACTTCTATTAAAATGCTGCGATATTTCCTGCAACATGGAAGTGTTTCACACTTTCAGAATGTTTTGAAAAGCTCCTGGAAAATTATCTTAAGTAAACCCTTGAAATGATGTACTGAAGTTTATAGGTATTGTTGAGCATTAATCAAGCAGCAAATAAATTAGTTGCAAAGGATGAAAGATGACTTGTCAATTCAAAAGGACTAGATTATTTTTGTCTAAGTAGTAAAAGGTATTTACTCTTAAAAGTTTTAAGAGAACAAGCAGGCTTGTAAGCAAATTTGGCTGCTGTTGAGGTGAGTGGACGGATAATTCAGTTTAGGAGGAAGCCCTAAAATCAATAGGACTTCAAACTGTTACTTTAGTATTATTAGAAAATTCAACACATTTACATCCTCAAGTTATGAAGGCAAATACAAAAAGTGATGTACTGTGTGTCTAATTAGAAAAGCCTTTCCATCATAGTGGCTATGTCCTTCCTTCACAAAATCTATGACTGGTTGTAGCTCACAGGACACAGCATTAAGACAATGAAAAGGGAAGCATTCATGATGTCACTGACCTGTTCAGTCACAATAAAGTTTCTCAAACAAGCATAGTATTGTTGATTGTAAACAGTCTAAGTAGTTTTATATGGTAAAGTTGGCTAAAGTGGTGAGATGTTTATTCAGTCACTGGTACAATGGGAAAATATTTGATCCTCTTTACAGTATGCATTAGAAGATAGACATACCAATCGAAGTTATTTAGTTTGATTAATCTTTGATTTTTGACTTAGTTTGTTTAATCTATGTAACACAAAAAAGGCTAAAAGGTCATGTAGTAAACATGGTTGGAGAAGTATAAAATTCAATTGTTGGTTTAATTTCAGATTAGGTGACAGTGGAACTCCTCTGAAGGCTCAAAGGTCAGAGAAGACGGACTTTGTGATTAATCAAAATAGGCTAAATATACACATAGATTCACAATATTTTGTATTTCTAAGACTAGAGAAAAACATAACATAATAATCATGGTTGAAATTTGTCTCTATTTTATCTACTATCTTCAAACAATTCTACAGAAGAATTATTTGTACAAGTGACAGTTTGAGCTGCCCTTTTATAATTTTAGCTTGCCTGAGAGTGATGGAAGAAGAATAGTTTAATAATAAAATGTAATTAACCAGTATCATGAAACTATCAAAATTATAAAAAAAGACTAAGCCTTCAATAAATGTCTCCTAATGACATGCTGGCTTAATAATTTATCATATCTTTCCAGCATTACTGTTAAACAAAAGTTCATTTCAAATCATCATTTGACCATTTGAAGGAGAGAGATTAAATAAATGAACAAATATTTTCCTTATCTTCCTGCTATATATCTTAAAGACTGGCTGATTAAAAGACGGCTGATTGAAGGCTTCTCATCAGAACATAAATTATTGGACTTTATTTGGACTTTAATTACTGTGGTGATATACTTTTCACATGGATAATTTCTTGGCAATGCTGTTAGTGATGAAATATCAAATTGCTTATATCAATTGTTTTTAATTTTGAAGTTCACTCGTGACAGTTTTGTACTCAGCTGAGGTTAAAAGTTTTGTTTCGGCTTTGGTTTATCACAAACACATGCTGATTTGATGACATTTACAGTGACTGAACTGCCTCTGACATTTGACTTAAACTCAGTGGAATAGTATTTGTATATTCCACTGGTGTGTTGAAGATCAGGATTATGATAAGCCATGAGAGGCGAAAGCACAATGCAGGAGACAAATGAAGGTTGACACAGACAGCATGAATCAGACTGGGAAAGGGTGCAGAAATCATTAAGTCTTTCAGGAGAAATGGTACTGGATGACCTCCTCTTTCTGCTGGTGGAGCAGATGATAGATTAGTACAGCCTCAAGCAGATGGGCTCTTTGGCAGGGAGAATGAACACAGGCATTGCCCCTGTGCTTGCCCCTTTTTCTAGGAGAGCTATGGAAGTCAAGATGGCGGTTTGCAAATGAGAGAAAGTTACGTTTGACGACATACAGCTCGAAAACTCCAGCGGGCATGAGTGTTCATCCATTGGAAAGTTATGCAGCTTAAGGTAACACTCCGCATTAATAGTCAACCTGATAAAACAGAATTGTGACAGAGAAGAAAATCAACTTTCAACATTTTTTTTGTGTGTCTTTTTTCCAGTTGGAAATAACACCATTTAAAAGAGACAAATAGATCACCCTTTGACAGACGGGGATTATTTTAAAGAGAAACACAGATACACCACACTAAAGCTGCACATACAACAAATGTGTTTAGAGTTAACTTTAAATATGGAGCCAAAATCTATTTGAAAACATGGTCTCTGGGTTGTGTCCTACCTTAGCGTGTACATGACTCTCCCATTACTCCACAGCCTCAGAAGTCGGTTGGGAGTTGTGATCCAGTGGGCATCAGATTTTCGGGAATTCCTGAAGAAGGTGTCGGGAATCCAGATTTTGCCTACCATGTTACTATTGAGCATGAGCAGCTTCATTGAACTGTTGAACTTCAGTCTGCTGTCATACCACGTCTGGGCAAAGAAGATGTCAATGGTGTACTCCTGCAGGCGAAGATTGTTAACAGAAATGACTTTATGTTAAGAACATATTTCCTACTTTCTCTTGAAGTCCCAGTGGACACACCTTGTTCTGTTAATTGGCAAAATTTCTTTCAGAACTAATGAGTTTTTATTTTTTACACATATTTACTGTGGTTGAAGATCATGTTATGATGTCAAAATCCATTTTTCTGTTTACATCATGCATGACTAACAAACACATTTTTGGTTTGATCGAGAGAATGAAGCCTGCCTACACTACAGCCCCCTTAATCGCTATATCATCAAGAAGCTTTCTACAGAAACCTAGCGGTGTTGTGTTCACAGAGCTGCTTTGGTTTGGATTTTGTTTTCTCCCCTTCATTTTCACTGTGTGCCAGGCAGGTGAGGCTCCCAGCTGTTACTCATCAGCCACAATCAAGCAAGCAGTATTTAGAGGAGTGGATTCCCTGAGGCAGACGACAGATGGTTACCTATACCAGTGGTAACTGGGTCCCTCTTCAAGACTTCCAAGTTAAGTTGAACTTGTTCTGATAGTCTTACTTACCAGTCTTGTCTCTGTTTTTCTTTAGTTTTCCTCCTGCTGAAGGCTGGCTCCTTTTCCTCCCTCAACGGTGCTTTCCACTCCTCCCCAAGAGCTGTTTTTCAAGATCTGCAAAAGCTGAACTCGCCTGCCTGTCCACCCTCCAACGCCTAAAGAAACTGGTAACTCCAAGGTCTTCATTCCCCCCTCTCTGTGGACACTGTTGCTCCCCCTCAACCTGTTTCCAAGCCCTGAGAAGTAAGTCTGGCCTCACTGTTCATCTCAACATCAGCTGGTACTCATACTGATCACCTAACCTGTTTTGCAGTGAGACACCGCTCTGGATTTTCCTGTTTTCTCTGCTTCCAGTCTGAACAATAAAAACTCTTAAAATAAACCAGTTCTCCTGTCGTACGTACTGCTGCTGCGCCAGAGTCTTGATCCGAAATCATGTCAAGCGGTTGCATAACTTTCCAAATTTTTTTGTTTTTTTCACAACAACAAAGAACACAAATTGGTTTAATTTCACTCCTCAAAGGTATTTTTTTGGGATGCAGCCTTGTTCTCATAAAGCTTTTTAAAATAATTCATCTCCTCGAGTTCTGCAGATGCCTGGTAAAGAGTTGTTTATTTGATTAAGGTGTTTAACACCTCTGAAATTATAGGCTGCTTACTGACCATAAGCTTCATTTATCTTTTGGGTGGAAAAGAAGAAGGGGTTTGATCAGGTACTGGACCAGACATAGGAACAAGAAGGGTTTAACGATGTGTTCACACTGAGTGCAGTGTCTGCTGTAATATCTGTCTGCACCACGGGGAGTCGACAGCATTTTAGATGCACAGCAGCTTCACAGCTTTAAGAGGATTGTGTCATCAAGTGGGAGCAACTTGAGCTTCTTTCTGCTGGACAGTTTTAAAATGGCAGACAGGGATTTTATCAAGCCAGTCACAGAGCTTGTTTTGCTGTGGTAAGCTGAAAGCTGTTGATATTTATGTGTCCACCCCCTTTTCTCGACATGGATCCAGTCGGAGGAATACCACCAGCTACTCATAGAGCTCCGTCTAGATGAAAAGTCAGATTCATTTAGAGAGCACCAGTGCATTATGAATGTAAAAACTTTGTCTCCACTCAAGGTCTTGGGAAGATAATTTCCTCACCTTAATTTTTTTCTTTTTTGTAGGTTGCTACCTAATCCAATGCATATCCAAGTGTGCTTCAAAGGGGCAAAAGATACAGGACTTAAACCTGGAAGCCTTCCTCATTGACACTTTCCAGCTCTTTCTAAGGGATCCCTAGACTTTTTCCCTAAAAGAAGTACCTAAACATCTCTGACTTTTCTGTGCTGACTGCTGTTTTGTGTGGGTTACTTGCACTCTGTGTGATGATTGGCTCATGCAAGGAAAAATAACTAAAGATATGCAAACTATTCCCTTTTTATGATTCTAATGTCTTGAAAAATAATCCCTTTCATAAAAAAATTACTAAAAAAGGTAGCTTTGTGCAAGCCTGACGCAATTATGTCGACTGGTACATTTATGTTTTATGTTTGTGCACCTCCTGCTAAATTTGTTTCAAATTTATATGAAAAAATGTAACTTGATGCTCATTCTGAAAAACTTTTTAAAGTATTCGATGCAATAAAAACAAGCTGTGGTTAAATCATTAGAAACATTCTTACCATGTTGATAGGATCCACTGGTCCAATACTGTTGACATAAACTGCTGTTTCAATCACTGTCGGCCGTACTGAAACATAGCATAGTCTTTACTGTAACCACAAAGAATATTCAATAAAATCAGCACAAATTAACTCAAAAATATACGAAAGTGAACTCCACTCTGAATATTGAGGGCATGTTTTCTCCAAAGCAGAAGTTGTTACTCTACAGCTGAATAACTGATTGGGATGTTTAATTTCTCCTTGAGAAGAGAAGAAGATATTTGTTCTTTTAATCTATTTATGTTTATTTTTATCTTACCTCCAATGTCAGGTCGAAGTTTGTTGTCGTAACCCTGCAGCAGTTTATTCAAGATCAAAGTCACATCGCTTTCATAGACCTTAGGCGATAGGACCCAGGTTTTATTTATAGGAACATCTTCATAATCTTCATCCTCCTGTTTACTGGGACCAGTGGCGGAACTGAAAAGAGAGAACCCAATAAACATAAGTTTTAACATCAAAAGAGAATAAGAATTCAACAGATCCTAAGAATTGAAGGTGAAAATCAATGTCCAATATGACTCAAGCAGTTCTGTCTGTAACTTTTTCACCCTGAAAGGAAAGTGGAGGTGTTTGCTCACCACTTGGTGAGTCATATCACATGGTCAGCAAACTTCTATTAGACTGTGAACCTTGCCAAGAACACATCCTGGAGGTATTTATGCTGGAATGTGTTTGAGCATATGCCAAACACATTTTACTTTTACCCTCACTCAACATCTCAGCACATCTAACTGATAATTTATATTTGGCTTTCTCATTTTTACGTTGATTGGCTGCATGCATGGTTTTTATTTTTTTGACAGCTTATTGCACTCTCTGTAAAACACAAAACACATTCTTGGTAAAGTAATCTACACTCCTTTAGTTTTAGGGCTTTATACAATAAATAAAAAGTATCGGTTCTTTGTCAAATCCTGAAATTATTTCAAGTGTACAAAAAACATTAAAATATCCACACTAATATCCATTTATCGATTTTCCACCACGCTTATCCCAGAAGGGATAAGCGTGGTGGTACCTATCTCCAGCTGACAACGGGCGAGAGGCGGGGTACACCCTGGACAGTCCACCGCAGTAAAATACACCAATATATATATATATATATATATATATATATATATATATATATATATATATAAATAAATATATTGCTGTAGATATATAAAAAAATCCTAAGTGTTTGAAGCGTCAGACATTATCTGGTCCCTCATATGGTCTATGGCCTGTAGTTATATGCAGCGTTATTAAGACACTTTACTTAATGTTCCGCCATTCACACGCTAATGGTGGCACTGTAGCCTCAATGGACCTGGGGCAGCCTGAAAAACACAAAGATGCCATACAATGTGTTATCTTATATCTAAATGCCTTAATTTGTAAAAGTAAAAAAAATCCTTATGAATACATTTAAGATTTGTATTTTCTCCCTGTTGTCAACCACATTGTTTAGTACGAGAAGAAGAGGAAGAATATGAAAATAAAACTATCAAGCAAATGTTGTAAAGGGGATGCATGAAAACAACTTTACACCATTGATATATTCGATCAGTGGTTCTGTTAGTCTTCTTTCTCGTGTTTTCGTTTAAAACTAATTGGTTCCCAACCTTAAGCCACTGGCTTGTAAGAAATGTAGCAGCTTCCTCAGAGGTTGTAGATTCTAGTTGCTGAAATTATGGTTGATATTCACACAATTGTTATTTGTACTCTTAGTTCAGTAGAGTTGTAATCTTGTAACTTGTATTTGTAACTTTTCAACGTGTATTCTTACAGATTAATCATCTGAGGTCACATGTAAAAATATACATCTTCTATTATATAGTATTATATATTATATTTAACTAATTTAGGTTACTGACCTATACAACAAATTCACATATGTATACATCTTTATTTACATTTTTCTAGCCTCATACTGTACCCTTTGATCAAGGCGAAAGGCAATACGGGTGATTTGTCTTACCCAATCAAACAAAGATTAAAACAGATGGAGCTCCATATTACAGTGGGATGCAGGCTGTGGGGCTGTTCTCTTTCAATGGGGCTCAGTTTATTAATGTTTGTAGATATTTTTTTTTAATCTTCACAGGTATCCTAAATTCCATGAAGAGCATTTAAATCATATTGAGGTCTGGACTTTCACTGGTTAGTTATGTTGCTTGTTTTCCCCCCCTCAAGACATTCTGTTTTACATTAGCAGCTTTGTTGTGGATCATTAAGATATTAATGCTCCAATTTGGATAACACTTCATCCGTCAGACAGATGGCATAATATTAGAGTCTAGAACATTAGCTCTGTAGCCTTCAAGTCTAATTCATGCAGTTACAGAAAAAAACGTTTTCTACAAATTACCTGCTAGTCCCTTTGAGATAGATGTAAGGCAACCATTACTTCTTTAACCCGTTAACCACCCATTGCCTATCAGAGGGCTCAAGAGACTTAAGGGTTTCAATGAGGATGAAAAAATTATTGCCAAGGTCTTTCCATTTTAATGTTGTTAATACACACTGTGATGTTTTCAAAAACAAATCGACAATGTTCTGTTTTATAGAGGTGCTGAAATCATTTATTATCACTCGATTAATGCGTTTGATCAGCAACACCGAGGCATTTTGCTACCTCTTAAATCCTTTAACAGCGATTAAACGGCAGGGATGCTTTTCCATTTAGGCTTCATCCTTGTTCAGTTATTTGATGACAAAGTGAACTCTGTGTGATTTTGGACACATGATAACCAAAACAAGATAAGCAATACAACAAAACACATAATGAAAATAAATATAGCAATAAACAAGAAAGCTTCTCAACATGATTGCGAGATCATGCAAAAACACCAGGTGTTTTGAAACTCAAAGCTGTCATTAGTGCAGATGAAGGTGATGTGGTGCATAAATAAAATCCGTAGTAAATATTTGTTCGGGTGCTGCTGTAGAATTAACACATCTAAAACATCTATTCTATTTTTACCAGTAATGCTTCACCCTTGATATCTAGATTTTCAGAACAGTGGACTAACAGCTTTAATGTTTGCCGTTTCATGTCGGATTTTTGTGATGAATACCTTATGGGCTGTATCTTAAGAAAAATTAACCTGGGAAAAAAATATAAAAAAACTGTATTTTTGATTGCATTTACTTTTATTGCTATATAGAAAAAAGTCTTAAAGCTTTTATCAGTTAGATTTGCACTGATACTACTCAACTGTGTGACACAGACCATGTTTCTCAACGCACTGAAGAAGAAGAATGTATAATTTTTTTACGCTACAATTAAGGTCAAACTGACATTTCCTTTGCCAATAATTAGTATTCATTTTTAGGCCACACAGCCATTGTTTGAGGAAGCAGAGAACTGCTCTAATAAATTATGAAAATCAAGATAATTTTTGTTTTATGTACTTATGATAATGATTTACCAAGAAATATATTTTGATATTATGTAATATATTAAAAACAGGGAATCAAATTCTGATTGATAGACAAAAAGTACACCCTTTTACAGGATGTGGGGATTATGTTTATAAAAAATAATATACAGTGTGACAGTAGATGTATTAATATACAAGAATAAAAAAGAGATGTTTATTGTGCATAATTTTATCTGATTGTTGTAGATTTATTTTTAGTTTTTTTAGTTTTTACGGCACTAGTGGCTCGGATTTTGACATTAGGCTGACAGGAAAGGGGGTACGAGAGGACCACAGGTCAGATTCGAATCACAGTGAGCTGCTTCGAGGACTAAGGCCTCCCTCCGTACATTGGCCAAGCACGCTAACCACTACACTGGCGCAGTGTAGAATTATACTATGTGTTAAATAAAACTATAAAATGACCTGTACTTTTATTGTACTTTTTTTCCAACTCTAGGGTCTCAAAAAGGCTTTACATTACAATCAGCCATTAATCAAATTAACGCAAGCATTCACACACAGATGGGGGGCAAGCTACATTGTAGCCACAACTTTCCTGGGGCCCACTGACAGAAGTAAGGCTGCAGAACACAGGCGCCATCAGACCCTATTACTAACTCGGCAATTTGGGTGAAGTGTCTTGCCCAAGGAGACAACAACTGAGACGAACAGAACTGGGTTTCAAACCAATGACCCTTTTGCCTAGTCACCCATATTAAATGCTCCATTCACCCGCACATTTGCTCAAGTTGCTAGACTTTATTCTGGTGCCTCACAGAAATAGCTTACCTACGTTATTAGAAAACAGTGTCACCTCTAAAGGAGTAATGAGTGGGTAGAATCCTTGAATATCCAATATAATATTTTCCAAACGGTTGACCTTGTTGTTGTAAGAAATGAAAAAGGGGGGGGGGGGCAACTGAAAATGTATAGAAACAGTCTGATTTTAACATTATATACATTTTACAAATAAGGAAACTATTTTAAACCTAAATACCTAACTTTGCATTGTTTCTTAAGAGCAAATAACATACTTCAGTTAATTTTAGTAACATTGTGCAGTCACTTTTCGATAGAACAGGTTAATTCACATTTTCATACCCAGCATTGAGATGCAGAAACTGCATTTCTCTGTAAATTTTTTTACTGTTTTAGATTTTAATTGACTGTTTTCCTAAATTTAACAAAATAAAATACATCTAAACCTAAAAAACTGTCCTACCCCACAACTCAAAACATATACAAACCTAATCTGAATCTATAATTATACGAGGAGCTTTAATAATATACCTGTTTAAATCCAATGTTAAAGGCTGGATGCTTCATCCTTTCCCCACTGCAAAATTCATTGTAATTGTTCCAGAGATTGTGCTGCGAGAGGAAGTTCAACATTACTAGGACTCCCCAAAGGCAAAACCAGCTTTTAGCTTATAAAGCACTGTTCTGACCTCTGCTTTTATTCCACCAAAGAAAATGAAACATCAGCATTTTTCAACCTTACAGAAAAAAACATAAATGTGCTCAATATTGTTCTTATCTTTGCACAATCAAAGCACAAAGTTGAGTCAGGTTGGGTAGGAAAGGAAGATTGGCTGAACCCAGTGCACACAGCAGGACTTTCAGAATGTAACTTAAACAGAGCTATAAGCAGTTTTATGTGTCTGTTATCTGATGAGTCCCGCTGTTTCTATTACAGGCCGTTCCACATGCTTGAACTCCCAGCTTGTGCCAAACGATGCTGCTCTTGTAGTTGCTGGGTGATAAAAACAGACCTAATACTATAAGAATCCCTGCAGACCTGGCATTCAGCTCAGGATTTAAGCTACTCTTCCCTGAATTACTTCTGAGAGTCATGATCTCATCCATGACACAGTGACCTAATGTGTGAAAAATCTGTCTGTGTAGTCACCTTATAGCCTAAATAAATCAGCTGACATTGAGCAGACAAAGACCTAAGTGCTGACGACAATAAAAAAATAATGAAACTACACAGCTTGAATAATGAAAAAA